AACTCAGGACCTTTTGCTTGCCAGGCAGGTGCTGTGGTGCTAAGCTATATCCCTGGCCCAACCCACATTCTTGAATGTATGAATAATTAATTCTTTTTTATTGCTGTGTATTTTTCCATGGCATGGCTTTTGAGCTATTTCTAGTTTTGGGTTATTATACATAAAGCTGCTGTGGACATTGTGTACAAGTCACTACCTAGACATGTGCTTTCATTTCTCTTAGATAAATACCTTGGTTTGGGCTAAATTACATGGTAGGAAATAGTCAGTTTGGGCTAAGTTACATGGTAGGAAATAGTTTGGTGGTACTGAGGGTTGAACCCAGGATCCTGCACATGGCGCTCTATCACTGAGCTCCATCCCCAGCATTTTGTTTGTTTGTTTATTTCTTTGAGGTCCTGAGGATTGAACCCAGAGCTTTCACACTGAGCTATATCCCCAGGTTGTTTTACTTTTATTTTGAGATAGGATCTTGGTAAATTCCTAAATTGCCAACGCTGGGCTGGAATTTGTAACCTTCCTGCCCCACCTCCCTGAGTGCTGGGATTATAAGTGTGTGTCACCGTGCCCGGCCCCTTTTCCTGTTGAGTTAGGGTCTTGCTATGTAGTTCATGTTGGGCTCAAACTTTCAATCCTCCTCTCTCAGCCTCCTGAATAGCCTGGATGACTGGCAGATGCCACCAGGCCTGGCTACTGTTTTAGGGGTTTTTGTTGGTTTTATGGAAATGAGGATCAAAATAAAGGGTGCTCTACTACTGAGCTATATCAGAACTTCAAAACTCCCTCCCTCCCCACCACCTCATGCCTGTGTGTGTGTGTGTGTGTGTGTGTGTGTGTGTGTGAGAGAGAGAGAGAGAGAGAGAGAGAGACAGAGACAGAGAGAGAGAGAGAGAGGGAGAGAGGAAGAGGGTTTTGAAATACAGTTCGGCTGGACTTGAACTTACTATGTACCCCAGTCTGGCCTTTCCTGCCTCGGCCTCCCAAATATTGGGATTATAGACCTATGACACCATGACCAGCCAGAATCCCTCTTTATTTTGAGACAGGATCTTCTAAATTGCCCAGGCAAGACTGGAACTTGCAATCCTCCTCTTTCAGCATCCGGAGTAGTTGAGATTACAGACATATGCTGCTGAGCCTTGCTTGCTTTAGGGTTGTGTAATATGTATAATGTATTATACACATTACATATATATATTTACCTCCAAGTAGTATGGCATCAGAACATGGACAGTATATGAATCTTACAGCAATTTTCTACCTTTTTCCCTCTCTCTTTGTGGTATTTGCATACCCTTCACGTTATAAACTCAGTATTTAGGGCTGGATACAGCTCAGTGGCACAAGTGCCTGCCTGGTAAGCATAAGGTCCTGAGTTCAATTCCCGGTACCAAAAAAACAAAACAAATAAACAAAAAAAAAAACACTCAGTATTTATTACTTTTCAATTGTTTTTGCTTTAAGCAAGCAATGTTTGAGTTTTAAGTTTGTTGTTGTAATATAATATATATCATAAAACTGACCATTTTAACCATTTTAATCACACAATTCAGTGATATTAAGTCCATTTACAATGGTTGCATATTCATTACCGCCATAGTGTGTTTCTCCATTTATTTAGGGCTATTTTCAGAACTTTCTCAACATACCAAGTGTTATATTCATTAAACAATGACTCTCTTAGCCTCTAGTAACCTTTATTCTACTATCTCTATGAATTTGACTATTCAGGTACCTTATGTAAATGGAATCACATAATATTTGGTTTTTGAGCTGAGGATATAGCTCAGTGGTATAACACTTGCTTGGCACATCTGAGTCGCTGGGTTCAATACCTAGCATAACATTTTTTTTTTAGTTTTTAATTTTTTTTGC